GGCCAGATTGTAATGGCTGTCAAATGTCGTTAAAATCCTGTAATGCATTCAAGAGCACAGCGCTTCAGCTGCTGCTATAATAAATAGTATTATTAGACACTTTAAAATACTTACTTTCCTGTAATTTATTTCACAAACAAATCATTTGGCATCACGATTACAGTCTCTCTTCAGATTATATTGAGCTCACACATTTTTTCCTCTTTTAAATGTAAATTTCCCTCTTTTTTTTTTTTAATTGATCAGAATCCAACATCCATTCACAAGCACACTGATTATACTGATGCAGCTCTTCCCAGTGAACTACATTTAAAACATTTGATTTAATTGTTTGCAGTCTTTTATGGCCTTCCCTCTGCTCCTCATCAACCCGTCATCAGCCTGCAGAGCACATTGGGGCGTAACGCTCAGAGCTCCGCTGGGAGCCTGTCGCCCCTCTTCGGCCAGACCTGAGATTGTTGCAGGCTTTAGGAAATGGGAGGAGTCCATCATGGCCCTACTAATCCTGATGGACAGGCCACTTGAAAGCATTATAACACATCTATAAATATTGCTATAGACATTATATTACAGTACAGTGCATCATTGGCTCGTTCCCTTTTAAAAAAACATAAAAGGGCTCAGTGCGTTAAAGGTGGCCACCAGGGCTAATTGTGCAGAAATCCAGGGAAACGCTGTGAATTCCTGCAATTTCCTTCTAATGTTAATCAGAGTTCGGCTGGAATTCTGTCTTGTGTCGTAGGGGAAGTTTTGGGGGAAAACACGTCGCGAGCGTGTGACGCTCCAGAGGCGGCATCAAAATCCGTTTTCTCGCGACAGTCAAGACGCACACGTGAACAGTTCCTCCTGAGCAGCGGTCCCAGGGAACCGTGTAGGTTGGGGAGGAAGGCAGCTGGCAGCAGAAAAGAGGTGGGGAGCAGAGGAGACCGGCGGCTTCAAGCTTCGCTGCAGCACTCGTAGATGTTGTCCTCCACCAGAGCGATGACCTGCTCGAACTTGTGGTGCAGCTGAGTGCGACGTGCCGTGGGGTTGGCCTCCAGAGCGTTCACCACCTGACCGGCGAAGATGGGAGAGAGGGAAGAAAACAAGAACAAAAAAACAAAAACAAAGATGACTTTCAGAAGCTGTCAAGGATTCATTCATTATTCTGTCTACACAGAAGCAAAACGAGGGAATAAACCCGCCACCTGCCGTCACAGACAGTAACTCCTAAAAACGTGTTCTGGATCCTTTTCACATTACAGCTAAAAAGTCAAATGACTCTTATTTGAATTTTGTGTAATAGACCAACAAAACTAGTATGTAGCACAAAAAAAAGCAAACATGGCTTTCAAAATGTGTTACTAGCTTTGTACATCTAACGACTGATTTCTTCTTTCTTTGCCCAAGATCAATCCGATTGGATGGAAAACATTTTTGTGCAATATCTTTAAAGTCTCACTAAGGTTCTAGTCTGGACTTTGTCTGGGCAAGTCGAACACATTCTTTGATCTTAACCTCTCTATGGTAGCTCTGATCGTCCAAAAGAGTCTTTTGTCGTCTGTAAAAGATTTCCTTCCAGAGTTGTATTCGGCTCCATCCCTCTTCCCATCAGCTCCAAGTTGAAGGGGTATGAATACTTTCGAGTGAAGTGCTTCAGCCTCCTCTCCCTGCCTTCATGCACGCCTTATAACCACAAAAGCTCTTGCTCTTCACATATTTATAAAACCCACATCTGCTCTGGTTTTCATGCCCAACAGTTGTCACCGTGTCAGTGGGATTTATGGGCTCTTAGCAGCAGTGTGCTACCAGGCAGAGCGAACTGAGCCGGGGCGAGAGAATAGGCAATCAGGGGCCATTCACAGAGCTCTGTGAATCAGAGTCTAAGCCCCTGGCCCGCGTCAGTACAGTAGCATGACAGAGGGAAGCAGCTAAGCAGCATTATTGTGAGGGCGCTCCATTAAGGCACAGTCACCACTGACTAAGCCTCTCTCTGCAGAATAAGGCGTAGCAGCGTGGAAGCATGGGGGAGGACAGCAGGAGCCTGAAAAGGGCTAGTTCAAAGCAGAACAAGAGATATGAAGCGGCAACTTAACAGCGCCATTAAACAGATGGGGGTGTTGGCTCGCGAGAAGGTAAACAACACGCTGTTTGCTTAAAGTGAAAGGTATCTGTGGGCCGGGAAGAGATGAGTGAACACACTGAATAATTCCTGCTGCTGCTGCTGCTTGGACGAGAGCCCAAATCTGATTGTTTCTCCCTTTTAACAAAAGAAGAAAAAAAAAAGCTTTTACGTGCTTTTATTTAGTGACATGTTGCAACGCCATCCACAGTCCGTTACATCTCTCATGGCAGCTGAGATCTGCAGCGCTGATGCATCACGCTCTGATAGCTATCGGTGAAACTTAATACAACAAGTGAGCTCTGTTGAGGCAATGTGGCTTTCAAAAAAAAAAAAAAAAACAAAAAAAAAAAAAAGTCTGAACATCCAAACATATCTTATCCATGTTTCTGATCACAAAAACGGAGAAGAAATGCACAAATCACTCACCTGGTTTCTGTATCTCTTGGCGTATTTGTAGATTTCTGTCAAGGCCAGGTTGGTGTTAAACTCATTTCTGTACTTCTGCAAGACAGACATCAAAGCAGCAGATTAGATCAAATTCCAAAATGAGACTTGTGTGTCATAACATGCTTTTGAGGAACCAGACAAACAGGAGCTCTTTGAATGTTTGACTTACTCTCGACTCCTCGGCGAGGTGAGCGTTCATCTCCTGCTCACTGAGAGGGGACATTTCTTGTATCTGCTTGTAGTAACACTGCACTTTTTTCTTGTACTCTGGGATTTCCTTGGCATACAGCAGCTTGTTAGTCGGTGAGTCCTGGAAGAAAAAAACAAAAAAAAAATCCCTGGTATTTCATTCAGGAAACTCATGTAAAAGTTTAGTTTTGTATTCATGGTGACTGTGCGTGCCAGAGCTAAAGAAAGGGTCCCCTTGCACCTGCAGTGCTTTGACCTACTTGTACTGAAGATTTATGCTGCTTTAATTTCATCCTCAGAACAAATATAGCACTTTTAATTAAGCTATAAAGTTCAAACTTAAAACTTAAATGGGGAAAAAAAAGAGGAATAGAATGTAGGGAATTGTTAAAATGCATGACACATACAGGCCTAGCAAAACAATGTATGGAGATGATAAAAATCTATCTGATTGTTACACATCTGACTTGCTGTGTAGAAAACATGCAAAAGATTCAACAATATTTATTAGACAAAGGATTTATAAAAAAGCAGCTAAATGTTGCTTATCAGGCTAATTCAATTAATGGTCTGTAAATTGTACCACTTCTATAGAAGCAAGAGTTAGGTCAGCTTGGTGCTGTGGAGCATACAACAGTGTGTTGACACAATGACAAGAAGGAAAAAACATCAGCAGTGACCTTTGTGAAATCCATCAAACTGTTTAAAGGTCATAAAGTAATTTACTGTATAATTCAACTCCATCATTTTAGAGGGAGAGAGATTATGCCAATGTGAACCACTCAAAGGTTGGTTTGTGTAATGAAAAAATAAATTGTGAAAAGCCAAAGAGTTTTCTTACTGACAAAAAAACAAGGAAATGGAAGAACAAATTCATTTTGCAAGGCTGTATTTAAAAGATATCTGGAATGTCTCAACCAAACTTTCTGACGCAGCGTCGGAGGGATGATCATTTGAGCTGATTTTGCAGTCACAAGATCCTTGAAGTCACTGTGTTAACTATAACTCCTTTATATGCAAAAATGTTCTGAAGTTAAATGGGGTGCCATCTGTTAGATTGAAGTTTGGGAAAAATCGGGTCATTAAAACACGGAATCCTGATTGTGTGTAGAGAAAAAGGAGACGAAATTTCTCACCAATGAAGTGAGAGACTTGATAAAGTCTTACAGGACACAATTACTTCAAATTATTGGTGCTAAAACTGGTTCTACAAGGTAAATAGCACCTGATTCTGGCATCTACCAGACCTATAAATTATAACCTAATACACAAATACCTACAAGTATTTTCTTTTCAACATGCCTGTATATTAAATGAATCCTCCATTTTTCAAACCACTTTATACTAAATAGCCTATTTAGTGACTTCTCCATATCCTGTCATAGTTGGACATCACCCCAGACATCTATGAAAAAGTAATCAGATTACTGTTGAGGTCATGAGTTTTCCCTCTAATTAGAGGGTTTTATCTACAAAACTCTAATCAGCTTCAGAAACCTGATGCTCTTTTAAGATTAGATAGCCACTCACATTAAAAAACATCAAACTGAGAAATAATTTGACTCACTAAATTATTAAAATGCTGCTTATGTTTTCATTCAGTTTTACTAAAACTGACATAATTTCTAACAGGATGATCGTTTTCTTATTACATTATATCTTTATCCCAGCTGAAGTCTTTTATTTCCAGCTGTTCCATCTTTTCTGCCAGCCATTTCTACATTTACGGGCTGAATTCATGCTTTTTTTTTTTTTTTTTTTTTGCCTCCTCCAGACGACAATTTCTGCTTGCTGTGCTTTAAATATCTCTAAAATCCAGCCAATCTTTCAAACTGTTACAACCCACCTCCGTGCAATCAAGCCCTAGTTGAACAGAAATATGCAGTTGGCTCTTTGACCATTATCCTTATTTCAACACTGGAGGTTATCATATCTTCATACTTGAAACAATACTTCACATTGATGAGTCTAATCACTACAAAATGTTCTCAGTGGCTTACACAGCTGGATACTATAAATTGCCTATTTCTCTTACTTGGATATACCGCCTTACCACCGAAGAAGAACGCTGCTGATCTTGGCACATTTAACAGATGCTGGCTGACATGTTTATATGTTATCAGCTAAATGTGCATTTAATGAAAATAGTTTAATTAGATCTGAATCAGTATGTACATATTTTCCTAAATGTTTCTTTTATTCTCATTTTTTATAATCTATATATTATTTTAGATTGTCTACGTGTGTTCTTTTTTAATCCTTTTTGTTTTTATTTAAAGTAATATGTTGACTCCATTTTGTTACATCTCAAACTCTGAGCTCTCATTTTCTGTTTTCTTCTAGCTACAGTTACTTATGTCTGTGCCTTCAAAAGTAACTGTACATCTAAACTGTGTGTTATTCTTGATGACCCAATCTAAACCAAAAAAATAAAAAATAAAAAATCAAGACAATGGAGGCAGGAAACATTTTTCTTTGCTCACAACAACAGGAATCATATTCAGAGCCAGAGAACATTCCAGTCTAAACAAATCTCCCCACACTGGTGCTCATTCAAGCAGGAGAAGTAGCAGCCCTAAAAGGCTGTGGGCATATTCGGGTTTTAGTGGCGACTACTGCTGTGAGCGTGGTGCACTGTGGGGGAGAGAAAGGGACGGAGAAAGTAGGACAGGGAAGCAGACAGACTGGCAGCTACTGCTTTCAGCAGGGCTGAAGGTGCTTACAGCGCACCTTAACATTTCCACATGTCATGAGTTATTTGTGTCACTTATTGTGTGAGTTAAACGTGCCAAGCAGCTGAGCTGCTGCAGCCAAATTTGCTCCTTCTGATAGGAACCCTCTTTCTTCCTGTCCACAAGGTCACTTCCTGCTGCTCATCCATCTGTCCACCAAGCCTCCTGTGACCGTGTGGCCCTCTACGCTCTGCATCTCGCCAGATAAGACGGTTTCTTTGGAAACCAAAAGCAACACACAGCTTCCTACTCTGAGTTCACCGCTGCTGGGCTCCCAGCTAATCCGGATCCCTTTACTGTCTCGTCTTGTAGTCATCGTCTGTGCAGAATCTCTCAAAGCGTAGTAACATTTCATCACTTTTCTCCTTCACCTGCGGGACAAGATGTGACCACATCCTTGAACTTGGCTTTGCCACACACACACACACAGCCAGCCAGATGTGGCCAGATAATCAGGGAGCTGTAGACGCACTCTATCTCATCGCTGAAGGTTTTATGTTTGTCTCTGCACCCATGCACATGCATTATCCCGTTTGTACGCTTGAGCATAGCGGCTGTAGGCACGCTGGCTTTTTGGCGCTGAGATAAGGCACATAAATCAGCCTGTTTCTCAGAGAAAAGAGCATTATATGAGGAGTCCTCAGCTCCCTCCAGGGAGGAAGCCAGTCAGAAGGAGACAGGAAGCAGAGCGTGCTGAGGGTCATGGTGTCTGAAGGATGAGACAGATTTGTGAGCAGTGAGGACATTGACATGCGTACGTGCACATGCAGACAGGCGGATAGGAAGATAGATAGATGAATGAATGTTCACGCACTCACACACAAACTCGCGCGCAGCACCTAAAGAGATCCCTGGTGCTTATGACCTTGGATAAACCGAGTGGGCTGGAATAACAGGAGGGGAGGTAGATGGAGCTGACAGTGTGAAGGCTTAGGAGGAGGGCTCACAGGGGGGGCTGAAGAAGTGCGAGTGTGTGTGTGTGTGGCAGTGGCTGTTGGAAAGATAATTTGCTCCAGTAGATGCAAAGATTGATAGGTGGAGAACAAATAATTTGAGGTTTTAAATGTGGAGAAGGAGAAATGACCCAGTTCCTCGTAAGGTGACAGTGAACGGTGCGTCAGCAATTTTCACCTCATTTTAGAGGTAATAAGAGTGAAAACGGCTCCTTCTGAGCCATTGGCTGAAATTACATCCTTATCACCGATGCTCTGATTGCAACATGTGGCACAGCCGTTGTCGGGCGGTGCCGTTAAGGCCTGCTATCTAATCTTGTTTACATTCTGTGGATTTGCTCCTGAATGGGTTTGACCTTCTGCTGCTGCCAAATCCTGTGAGAAGCTTCTTCAAAGGAAAGAGAATCTCAAGTCGTTACAAATATTGTCAATACTTTGGTCTGGATCAGTGATTTACAGAAAATATATGAAGGTCCAAAGTTAATCACCGAACAAGGATTGAGGAAAAAAAATACTTAAGACTGTGGTGTTTAAGGTTAAACAAAGAGGAAATAATTTAATTTTCCAACATGCAGGCAGCTCCTAATTTGTTTGCTGAGAAGACACATGTCTGTGCATGCTGCTTTTTCCACAGCTGCTTCTAATATAAACACTGTGTTACGTCCACCAGGCTCGTTTGATGGGGTAACATTAAAAGGAGACCACACAAGGATTTAGAAACTGAATGAAAGTAGAATTTATTAAATTATATTAAAGAAATAACCCTGAAAAAAAAGAATACCTGAAATGAGAAACCAAAATAGATTAAAGCAGAACCTATAAGTGACCAGAAATAACCAAATGCTTAAACAAACCTAACAAATTTCAACCAAAAGATACAAACCAAACCAAATGGGGTTCTGAGGAGAGAGGAGGGAAAAGCCTCCTGACTGCTGCCTGCCTGGCAGTTTTAAAGCTGCAGAACACCAATCAGGGCAACACACATCACCTGCAGAGACCTGTCTGCAGAACCCTGAAAGGAAACAAGGGCAGAGACCCACTGAAGCCGTAACAACTATAAACGAGAGACTCACCTTTCCCAGCTGCAGATCAGAAATGGAGCAGGCATCAATGAAAGCCTGGGCGATGACGGACAGACAGGCGTCCATGTGATCCGTCTTATCGATGTCGAACACAAACTGGGGGTTCTTCAGGATGTTCACCCAGAAACGCAGAGGTAAGCTGCCCAGACAGAGGGGGTGGGGGGAGTCGGTTTTTTAAAAGACTTCCACCCACACACAAAGGACTCTTAAATCATGGTGTTTAGTAGAATACCTATTCGTTTTCCAGATGTGCAGGGTGTCTGGGTCCGTGATGCCCCGCTTGTCAGCCTGCTCCTCGAGGAAGTCGAAAAAGTATTTGACGGCCAGAGGCGGGCGGTCAGGAGGGATGCTGAGGATGGCCTGGAAGAGGTCATCCAAGAACTTCTGAAGAGTTCCCTGTGGAGGAAAAGGGCATTCGCATAATTTCACGTGATGTAGGAAACGTCAGCGACACAAACGTGAAGTATTCATACCCCTTGAACCTTTTGACATACTGTGAAGCATAAATCTTGGTGCACTTTTATTTTTTTAATTTACGACTTAGCTCACAACCATGCAGCAGAGAAAACATTTTTTTACAATATAAAACCTGAAAAATGTGGTGTGCATTTGTATCCAATTACTTTCAGTCTAATATGTGTGGAACCAGGAAATATTTTATTTAGAACATTACTATTATTAAAATTTTTTAAGCGATGGATAAAAACTCCCTGACATTTATTTAATGTAGTTAATGTAATAAACTAAGCCAAATAACGCTGCCAAATAGAAGACGTCCGGTTCTTTCATGAGCACAGCGAATGATTAAACAAAATCAACCACTTGAGAAATCACAAAACATGGCGGTCCACCTTAACTCGGAGGCCCATAAACGAGAGAATCAGATGAGACCAAATTTGCACATCATTTTGGGCCACATGCAAATTGGGCTAACACCTGCTAGAGGCTGCAAATGTTAGAACAACAACACCACGCATAAAGCCTGAGTTAAAGCTTATGATACAGATCAAAGAATATTTCTGCCATAAAATGACCCACTCATTTCAGCCTTAGGACAGCATGAAAGTCAATGTTTATGCACACTCCAAATAGAGCAGCATTAGGAAAAATGTCTGTCTTTAGGTGTGCATAGCTGATAAAGGCATATGTACGAGCAGCTGTAGCTACAGCAAAAGGTTATTCTATGGAGCAGAGACATAGGTTGGTGTGAATACAAATGCACGTCATCCTTTTGACGAACAATAATTGAATCCCATTTAGTCCTTTGAAGTTTTGCAGCTGTCAAAATGTGAAAACGTTTAGGGGACATGGATACTTCTATATAGCCTGAAGAGAGGGATTTTGTTCTGACTTCATGTTGCAGAGTTGACAACGTGTTGTTCCTGGTTTACCTTCGTAGACAGAAGGCGTGTCAGGTAGATTTCCGGCAGCACTTTCTTGCGATGGCTGTGCCTGTGCGACTTCTTGGTCTCTATAAGCTCATCATGAGGTAGAACCTGAAAAACCAGAGGTCAAACGTTACTGCGAGGAGTAGCTAAGTGAATACACTGCTGTGTTTTGTCTGTGTGAGCTGTCAAAGGGGGATTTTTTTCTGGTTCTTGCATTAGACACATGATCCAGATACTCACTCAGGGTATTTTTGGAGCACTGAAGGATAAACAGAATTAGGGAAGTTCAAGGAGGCTGGGAAATTCTCAGGAATTTTTTTTTAGTTTTTTGGCTATATGTTTTTTTTTTTTTTTTGTTTTTTGGGGGGGGGGGGGACTGCGTCATGTCTGTGACTCACTTACGGTTGAGGATTCATGAAATATGTTTCTGTTAAAAAGTTACACGGAGTTAATATTTTAGTTGATAACAGTCTTGTTGAATTAATTTAGCATAAATCCAGATTAGCTAGAAGCTGGTATCTAGTCAGACAGAGACCAAATTGGTCTCCTGCCTTCTTAACCTATGTCTGTAGACTAAGCAAAAGTTGACTCTTCAAAGTTGTTTAAGCTTAAACTGAGAACTTAAAATCCATAAGGTCCACAAAACAGACTGAAAATCTCTTAAAAGTCCCAGAAGCTATAAACTCAAAGAGAATGCAAGATAATTTGGTATGAATGAATTTATTAAATATTTACCGTACATTTTGGTTAATTTTGTGGCTACAATATTGAGGTGAGTAAGCACGTTTACATTGTAATGGTGAATAGAGAAACTAAGATTCCCAGATTAGAAAATAGTTTAATTTTTAACTATAAAAAACAAAAAAACATTAATTTATTAAACTTGGCTGAAACAGGAAGAGTTTTCAAAGGAAGAGTGACCAAAATGCTGTTTCTATTCCTCAGAACTGACCTATTTTTTCCCCCAATGAAGACCTAAAGAAATTAGAAACTAGATGGCTTTTTTAAATGAGGCAAACCTGCAAAACCTTTAATAAGTTTTGAATCTACAATAATCTGAACATCACTTTCCAACTAAAAAATCTGACCAATTTATTTGTTTATTTGATGTATTGCAGCTTCATTTATTGAGATGGGGGAGGAGGAGACTATCTTTACTTAATTTGCAAATCCTTTTGACTTGACAATTTTGTCCTATGTGACACAAAGTTTGGACACCCTGTTCGAAATAACACACAAACATGATGGTTTAAGGCAGGGGTCAGCAACTCTGGTCCCTTAGTGCTGCTGCCCTGCGACGTTTGGAAGCATCACGCTTGAAGAAAAAGCCTTTGCAAATCTTGCTGACATGCCAAGGAGGTAATTCATTATTTTACTCAAACGTTGCATGACATTGACATTCAAGGACAGGAGTTGCAGACCCAGGGTTTAAATAAAATATCCTCATCATAAACCACTAAGATGTTTTTAAGAGGGAAGACGTCCACCTTGGTCTTAGTGCTTCTCTAACTAGCTGTTAGCGGCAGCCTCCTTGGACCAGCTAATCTGGATTTATACCAAATGACAATTCCAAAAGAGTTTTATATGGATAGAAACCGCTTATAACCTTTTAACAGAACGTCACTTAAACAATCCTAAACTATTCCTTTAGGTTCTAACTACGCTAGAACTTTCCGTTAAAACCAACCGTTCACCCGGCAAATTGTATTCCAAGAAACTCATTATATTAGAGTCAAAGGGCCCATATCTTAGCTGACGTTTATGAAAGAGCTTAAGCAGCATTAGCGCTGTCATGTCCTCTCAGCAGCTTTCCCTCTCACCTCCATTCCTCCCCCCCCCCCATATTCTCTCCATCATCAGGCTTGCCGCTGGGCTGCCCACAGGAAAAGCTCCTCAGATTTAGCCAAATTACTTGCATGAAGATACTCACCAAGTGCACATATTTCTCTGTGTCCAGATCTTTGACTAGAGAAAGACAAGAAAACATATGGTATTAAACAATTACACAACTAGTGTGGTGCAGGCGTGAGCAAACGAGAGAAGATCGAGGCATGAAGACGAGTGAGAGATACAAGCAAGACAAAAAAAAAAAAAAAGACCGACAGGAGAGTAAAGGAGATGGAGTGCAAAAGCAGAAAGTGATTAGGGTGGACTGTGCGCCTGAAGGGGAGGGCAGCTGTCTGAGAGAATGAAAGAGAAAGATTACGAGCAAAAGGGGAGAGAAAAGAGAGAGATTATGAGAGACGGACGCACGGAGTCTGAGACTGGTTGTGGAGCTGCTGTAATGAGATGGTAATGCTCGGCCAACGCTGGGAACAAAAGAATTAAATCTAGCCGGTTTATTTATAGATCTCAACACAAAACATATTCATACACACGCATGAACGGATATGAGTGCCGGGATGAGCGTAGACTCATGTTCAAACATGGACTCAAAGACAAACATAGTAAATTTATTGTGCACGGCACAAGAGCTAAAACAAAGACAAGCTGAAAGTCACACACACACACACACACACACACACGCAAGCAGGCACCTTCATGGTGTGTGTTTTCTCATTACAGCCCACTCTGCCAGAGAAGCCCCCATCCAGCAGGCCACCATCCAGACCCTCAGCACTGATCACAGACGGCCAGGACAGTGCTGCAGATTAGCCAGGGAGCACTACAAGCTCATTGCACCCCCTTGACGCTTTGAAGCAGGCGCCAGGTTTGGTGCTCTTGAGCCTATTTTTGGCACCACGTGAATGGAGAGAAGCACCTTTGATGGACAGAACCCGAAGAGAACCAGGCTCTGGTCTGGAGCTGATTATGTAAGGTGGACAACTGGACAACAAGCGCAGGAGCCCATTAACGGCTGAATGTAAACTCATCTGTCAACAGGCGAAGCTCGGTGGATGCTGGACAATGGGCCAAATTGTGTCACATTTTTCCCGACAAGCTGACAGCTGCTAATGGATTACATCCACAACATGGAGGGGGAAAAAAAAAATGCTTTCAATGAGCCACTGTTGTTAGAGTTTCTGTCGTGATTTATTAGACTGGAAAGTATTTAGATATCAGTCTTTTCATGGATGAGGGGAAGGGGCGGCTGCTTGGTTTCACATATGTTTACATGAGTGGATCATGTTCTCGTGATCGCCTAAGCATGTGCCGTTTCCAAGTGATTGAGTGGGTGAGCGTACCTCTCCACGTCCGGGCGAGCGTGCATGACAAAGTGACAGAGAGTGGGCGAGTTTGAAGGTTACCTACCTCTCTCCAGGGTGTTTTCTTTCTTGTCTTTCATGCTCATGGCCAGCGACGCGCCCTCTGGGATCTAGAAAAGCAGGGAATAAGGAGGAGAAGAAGGATGAGGGGGCGAAGAGAGGCGAGAGAGGCCAGAGGGCGGAGGTCAGGGGTGAGCTCGGGTGCACCAAAACAGTGTCATTAAGCATGCCCTGGGGGGCAGTGTCTCGCTCAGAGGTGCAAGTGTTTGTGTATGTGTGTTGGTCTGGAGCGGTGGCTGGTTTTGCAGGGGCCTAGTGCAGCTCATTAAAGTCAACCTGCAGTGAAATGGATTGAACAGAATCGCCAGTGAACCCAAACCGTTAGTACAAGCTCTGGCTTGTTGCTCTCACAGCTCCGTCCCAACCGCCCAGCGAAACTCAACAACACTTACCAACGCACAGGTAACAGTTCAAAGGTCGAGAGGCACGGCGTGTTTGTTTCATCACGCACAAATCATCGCAGACATAAACAGACATACAAAAACATGTAGGTAGCTGGAGGAGTGGATTTAATAAAGGCTTCCTGTCGTCACATCACCTTCGTTTTGCAAAATTAGCCTGATTTAACAGGAGTACGCTTTGGTGGGAGGGAAATTAAATTCATCTTTCAGATGACCAGAGCTGCATAGGTTTTCAGCCAGGTGCTCACTGGAAATGTAAAAATATTCATTTCCCTGTAGGTGAATTTACCCTACTATAAGTTTGCACTGGAAACTCTCATTGTTGTGGACTTGGTCACTTCAGGCGTATAAAAATGAGGTCAGAGGAACCACAAAGATGTCAGGACATTTTTGTCTATTGGTTATACCGGCTACTGGAAAATGAGAGAGAACAAGAGTTTTAGCAGATAACAGGAAGACTGGGTGTATTACAGCGACGTTACTCTGTTTCCACCCTTTCAGCTTTCAAGCTTTCTCTGTCAGGAAACAGGATGGATTTGGAAATGTTGGCAACCCTTTGGAAATCTCATAGTTAAGGCATATTTCCAATCATTCAAAATCTGAAATTCTTGATCTGATATTTTTTATATCTGGGTCACAACTTTGAAGATAAAAGAAAGCCTCATTAAATCTTAAATAATGCAAACTTATATTTCTAATTTTATTGATCTTTAATAGTTCAATACAAGAGAGAATATTTTCAACGACATAAAAGTCATACTGATCAAAAGTGATCAGCAATTATAAAACCTTTGCATTACTAAAGTTCAGAACTGAATTCATTAACTCAGGAAAGTGTGCGCTTGTAGTTATTTTAGTTCAATGGTTGACCTTCACTATGAGGCAAGATTTACATACAGTATGTGCTGAGTGTGTTTTCACCTTTTTTTTTTCTTCTGCTGAACAGGGACATTATCCCTCAGGACTTCCAGATCTAACAAGTCCCAACATTTTCCGCTCTCTTAAAGCCAATTACAGTAAAGTCAGAAGCTCAACAACAACATCAGAGTAAGGCTGAATTTCCCACGGCACACAGACAGGTATGTGCTTGGAAGTGGGAAATGCCTCACAATGATTACGTCAATTTGCTTATTTTACTGACCTTTACGCATGAACTTTCACAAGATCTATAACCACTTTCCCCCCTGCTGTGACTTGTATACATAGCATAAACTATGTAATGTTTAACCTCGACCTTGTCGTGTTTTGGGTTGAGGTGGAGGTAATTAATAAGTTCCTATTGTAAAAATAATACAGAGAATTACACAGAAACAGGCAGCTATGTTTCCAATTAGAAGTTTATGTACAGTCATCACAGCCATGATTGTCATATTATTTTTTTCTTTTAGTGATGCATTTGAACCATTCTCTTCTGAATTCGGTTCACATGCATCTTTAAAGGCACAAGCCCACCAAAAGGAGTCCTTCAATACAATTTACATCGAGTTCTCGCCTTTCATTGCCCACTCGTATGACATCACCCACCTCAGCAGCATGCTCACACACACACACATACACACACACACACACACAAACACACACACACAAACACCCACCTGGTAATGGAAGACTGTGTTGAGTTTCTTTCGACCATCCTCCATCACTGAGGAGTTGTCCAGATCCTGCAGGAGCTTACTGTTGCTGCCAGAGTCAAACCACTCTGAAAGGAGGAGAAGGAAGAAGAAGGTGAAGGACTGGGACAATTTCATTGTTAAATTTGGAGCAGAGCAGGCGAGACAATCGGCAGCCATGCTCCGGCTCCATGTCATGACCTGTGGAAATATTCTCCGGCCATTAATCAAATCAGCTCTGCAGGCTCGGCGGCCTCTGAAAGCAATAACTCTTTGTGATTATGACTGTACACTCTCCTCAATGCATTCTGTCATTTATTATATTGCAGCCTCAGGTTAGTTGGGCTTCATGAGAAGAATTGACCTTTTTGCAAAGGAGATTACTATATCTTGGAGGGCTCGAGGAGGGGAAAGGATGGAAATAATCAGAGGAAATGTGTTCTTACCCAAGTCCACATCCTCCGCTCGAGGCCACTGGGAGAAAGGCAGGTTTTTATAAAAGGCTTCAATTATTTTTTCTTTAACTTGGCAGATCGTGTCAGTATTCATGACCCTGACTGACAGTGAGTCCATGCCACACCCCTGGAAGGACACATTGATGTTCTGACAGAGAAAAGGAGGAAAAGAGTGTCACTTGCACTGAATGTGTTTTGCTTGGTGAAAAACGAGCAGCGGAGTGTGTGAAGTGTTCAACCTGTGGCTTGGCCTCAATGTTCTCACGGAGCAGCCACTCCTCGTTGAGGGTGTAGCGGGCTTTCCCGGTGAGGACGTCTATGGAGCCCTTGTTGATCTGCTGCTTGATTGCACAAAGAAGCAGGAAGAAGGGCTCGCCCACTGTTTCCTGTGGAAGAAGAACCGAGTCAATGCGCTTCTTTTAAAATCGAATTGTCTCCCAGGGCTCCTCTCTCCGTCCTCACCTTCAGGTAGCTGTACATGCAGATGGACATCCAGTTGGTCAGCATCTTCTCCACGACGGACTCGGTGCGGCGCAGCATCAGTTTGGGGTTCTTGGAAGCCGAAGCGTCGATGAGATCAACCAGCAGGTCTTTCATGATGCTGGTGTAATATTCAAGTTTCCCATGGAGGGCGATGGTGAGCAAGGACGCCAGGCTGCATCTGAAAACAGATCAGCAAGAGGAGGCATGAGCAAAAAAAAAAAAAAAAAAAAAAAAAATCAAAAGTTTTTAAAAAATTTCCCCTCTAATTGGGGGATTGGAGAATTTA